TATTTATTTACAAGCACCTACTATGTGTGCAGCACTGAGCTACAGGCAAGGTAGGATTATTATCTCTTGATAATGGCAATAGCTCAGATTTTCTGAATTCTAAAGCATCAGCAATTATACTAAGAAGTTTACCTCTAGCCACCGATTTACTCTTTATAGCAACTAACCTTATGAAGTAGGGGACATTTTTCACACTGGCAAGATGAGCAGACTGTTGTCCATGGAGACTTTAGTGACTTTCTCATAGTCACACAATGATATGGAAAATCTTCCCTCATTCATTCAGTGGACAGTATTTATCAACTACTTTCAAAGTGCCACTACCACACTTGGTTCTAGGGACCAAATGATAGGACAGGCAGAAACCCAGTTATCACGAAGCTTACAGTTTAGCAGAGGAGGCAGTCAAATAAAACTAACGGTTACAATAGAGTCTGACAACTGGCTGGCTCCATGAACTATCGGGTGTTGGGAGGCACACAGTGGGGCAAGCAGAAGCTAGCTGCGTGCAGGGACGAGGGAGGGTTTCCATGCAGGGAAAGCATCATGTTTGTAAAATGGTCACAGAGTTCAATATCTACTCTTAGATACCCATAAAAATTGTAATATCTTTGTTTTGCCTATAACTGCTATGGCCTCTAAGGCCCTGCCCACTGTCTGGGAGGGAAGTGAGCTCAGACAGATCCAATAAAGCTGTAAGTCTTTTTAGACAGAGTTCAGTCTCTCCTGGATGAGTGTTTGCTCCGTCTCTCAGATGGCGTCTCTCCTCCTTCTTCTTCTAAGACCTGTGGCAGGGAGACGGGAGGTGGGCCGGGCAATACGCCTTTGCCTGCCTCGCTGCCAGGTGCCCTGCTGGTGCCCATGCCCACGTCTGCCTCCAGTGGACCTGTGGTCTGTTCTCTCACAGACAGGGCTTCCTGTAGGTCCCTGGCAGACTAAAGTTCGGGTTGGCTCCAGCTGGGGCTGAGAACACTCTGGGTCTGGCTGTCACTCCCATTCAGGCATGGCCCCAGTGATCTGCTCTGTGCCTCACTATACCCCTCATCACCTGACAAACCCCTTCTAGACACTCTCCAGCCAGATTCTCAGTTCCTTTTGGTTTCTGGAAACTAAGGATAGGGTTTGGGTCAGCTAACCTTGAGTCTTTCCTCTACCTGATCGCTCTGCACCTCCTGGGTAGCAATGATGAGGCTCAGCCTGGCTGGACTGCAGCAGACCCTGAGCCGTTTCGTCTAGAACATCCAATGAGACTGGTGGGAAGTGGAGGGGAACAGCTCCTCCTGTCCTCATTACCGTCTTCACTTTTAAAAGCTCATCTCACTCTCCTGCCTCACTTTCCGATTCATCTTTTCACATTACCATAGAATCAGAAAAGGAAACCCTCTTGCTATATCCTCTTTTACATGAAAACCCTATTGTGTATCCCTGGAAACTCTCTCTCTTCATGAGAAAGAAGAGGTAAAGCAATTAAAACAGACTTTTCTCAGGAGGTAGCCTGGGCCTTGCTACAAATTCTTATTTTTTAATGTTAAAAGCTGAATATCACCTCAGTCATTTTCTTGCATTCCTTCTAGAACAGCAGTCCCCAGCCATTTTGGCACCAGAGACTGGTTCATGGAAGACAATTTTTCCACAGACAAGAGGTGGGGGATGGTTTCAGGATGATTCAAATGCATCACATTTACTGTGCAGTCAAGCCTCTCTGCTAATGATGATCTGTTTTTGCAGCTGCTCCCCAGCGCTAGCATCACCACCTCAGCTCCACGTCAGATCATCAGGCATTCGCTTCTCATAAGGAGTGTGCAACCTAGACCCCGCCCATGTGCAGTTTGCAGTAGGGTTCATGCTGCTATGAGAATCTAATGCTGCTGCTGATCTGACAGAGCTCAGGAGGTGATGTGAGCGATGGGGAGCAGTTGTAAATGCAGATGAAGCTTCGCTCACTGGCCTGCTGCTCACCTCCCGCTGTGTGAACCAGTTGCTAACAGGCCACGGACCGGTACCAGTCCACAGCCTGTGGGTTGGGGACTGCAGGTCTAGAATGAATCTTGATCTCTTCCAGACAGAAAGATGCTTCAGGCACACTGGGGTGAAGATCACGTTCTTGGATAGGCAAAAGAGAAAAGCATGTTAATAAATTTCAAAGTACTTTCCCAGTTATAAGTATAAGAGCCCTGATTGAGAAAAAAATGTGTCACACTTGAGGGACTCGGAGACACTTACCTGGCTAACAAGGAAGAGAGAGCACCTGGTGAGTGTCGAGGGATATAAAGAAGGTGTCAATCATTAACTCAGCACAGAGCATCACAGGGAAAAACACTCCCCAAGCACTGGAGGAAGCACTGAATGGAAGGCTGAACCGGGGAGTGGCAGTGATGTGTTTTTTGAAAGGGTCCCTCTGGCTGCAGTGTGGAGAATGGACTGGAAGGAAGGATAGGAGATGAGATGCACAGAGTTCAGTAAAGTGTAACTATAGCAGCACAGAAAAGAGATGAGGGCTGGGAGCTGGGCAGGAGCAGTACAGATGGAGTCTGGGGACATGGAACCGAGAGACACACAAGTGCTGTGACTTGCACATGTGGAAGGTGAAGACAAGGGAAAACTAGAGCATGAACCTAAGATCTCTGTCTTGAGCAGTGAGTAGAGGCAGGTGACTTTTTCTAGACAAGAAACCCTTGATGTTGAGCAGATTTCTGTGGATGGAGGAGGGGGAGAGTTCTATTTTGGAAACCATCTAGGATCTTCCACATCCAATAATGAATTTGTAGCATATTTTACAAGATGACAAATTCAAATAAAATTTATTCTACAACCCTTTACTGTCAGCTATAACTTTCTCTGAAAATTTGATTTACCATAAGATGAGGACATTGATTTTCGATTTGATTCTGCAGTTTGTGGTTTACCACATCTTGTTCCTTCTGCCCTCAAGAAGTTTTCCTGCATGAGTGAACCTACCACCCTCAGGCTTTAATTCATGCACAAACCTACTAACCATTTTAGGTGAAGTGAATTGAATCCATGTCCTCTTACCATGGAGAAGAGAAATGCAAGCATTACCTTATAGGCAAATAATAGCATTTTGCTGTCAGACACTAGGAATGCATTTAATATGCAACTGGCTATCTTTTGTAACTATTGCTAAAAGGAAAGTCTTTAAGCAAGTAAACTAAAATCAAAGCTCTCATTTTGTTAGCTATTCTACTTACAACGATTTTTTAAAGATATCATATGAAATGTCGCCTTATTTCTTATCTAAGTGTATGTTTTTAATCTGGTTTATTTTGGAGGATATCCCAGGAATTTCCATTTCTCAAAGCTTCTGATTTACCAAACTTTTCTTTAATGGTTGGAAAAAATGTTTACTTACACTTTTTTTTTTTTTTTACCAATTTTCAATCTAAGCTATATTTGTTGTATCCATTTTTTACAGTAAGGGAATTATGAGATGTCAAGTGAAATATCAAGTTCTCCATTTGGGTCTGTCTTGGAGTAGAGCCAAAATTATTTTCTGGGAGAATAATGGCCCTGCCTATGCAGCAGTGAAGAGTGTTCTGTTGTTGATATTATTGTCTTTAATGTCAAACAGAAGTTCTTAATTAGCACACTAACCCAGCCGCATTGTTCAAGCACATGACTGTAAACTCAACTAGCAACACAGACTCGCTGCACCCCAGTTATGAGTCAGGTATTCACAGCCAAACTCGCTGCTTCTTGGTACTTTTCGAAAGCTCAGTGAGAAAAACAACACACACATACATGCATGCTTGAAGGATACCTTACTCATCCAGTCCTCTCTAGATACTCTGAAATTCATTTTCAGGCTAAGCCAAAACACTAGAGCGCTATATTCTTGCATATGAAAACAATTTCTAAAATTAATCAATTAACTTCCCTGAGCTTCAGTTTCCAAAATGCAAAATAAAGGAAGGTTCATTCATTCAATTAACACTCAATGAAACTGCTATCCCTAAAGCATTAGGTCTACAAAATAGAATAAAACACAGTCCCCCTTCTCAAAGACCTGTTTGTCCATCCTTATTTCTTAGTATCTTTATCTATCTATAAGTAGACAATTATAATTCTATGTAATAAATGCAAAAATGGAGATATACACAGGTTACAGAAGCACAAGGAGGGATACCTCACCCAGCTAGAGTGCAAGAGAGAAAACGATTGAGGGATACTAAAATACTGTCATCACTCTCACAGGATTAGTGTATTCATAGGGATCAAACAAGACAAGGTACAGGAGACCATCATCAGACTGGAAAATGCTGCCCAGACGAAGGGCAGGTGATCAGCTATCGTGTCTTTGGCTATAACACAGATACCCAAAATTGGCTATAGTAAATATGGAAATTTATTATGTCATATAACAAAAGAGCCAGAGATAAGGCAGACTCCAAAGCTGGTTGACTTAATGGCTCAATTATGTCATCAAAGACCACCATTTTCCCCCTCTATCAGGTCTGCCTTTCTTGGCTCAAGACAAAGCACCTTACTCACAAGATAATTGCAGCAGTTTCAGGCACCACAATAAGACATACGGGGTCTTGAGTTAGAAAGAGACTTTCTTTCCCTGTATCTCCTTAGGAGGAAAGAAATGTTCCGAGATGACCCTGAAGATTTCCCCTCACATCTCAAAATCCCGGATTGGGCTATATGCCCATATGAAAGCAATCACTAGAGGAGCCATGGGTTTACCCTCCAAGCTTAGAGCAGTCATTTGAGACGCTCTCTGTTTTGGGGAATCAACTACACATATTGTGTGTACATTAGTGTTAGGTGAGCACAAACCGGCTGGCTTGAAACAAGGTGCTCTTTCTTCTGGGGAATCTCTCATTTGCCAAATTATCTCTGCATTTCTTACCTCATGAGATCCCACTGATTTTTCTTTACTTTCAATGACTAGAAAGAAAGGCTCTTGGGAAATGATCCAATCATGTCTTACTAGTCCATTATGCAATTCAAACTCAAGCATTTTAAACAAAACTTACCAAAATCTACTAGTTTAACTCCACCTTCTGTGGTCAACAGAATGTTATTTCCTTTTACATCTCGGTGGATTGTTTTGTTCTTATGCAAATGCTGAAGTCCCTGGAAGGTGGGAAATATACAATGACTCTTAGCAAAAGCACCAAACAAAAAAATTTTTTTTTCAGATGATGTATTTGTGCAAAATCAATGGGAAACACATATTAAAATTAATATTCAAAAACTCTTAAATGTTTCACATTGACTTAGTCAAATCAAAGTATGTCATTTCCATTTTGTATTACGTAAAAGTTCACAAAACCAGAGCATGCCTCTTAGCTTTTACCAAATATTTTATTAAAAACATATTGATCTCAATAGAAGAAAATATCCCACATACTTATTTACAGTAATGGCAAATAAAACCTAACTATTAGTTTTCTACCTTCATCACTATCACAGTCTTGGAATACAGTTAGGAAGTCAGAATTCAGGATCTTGTTGATACAAGGAGAGTAGATTTCTAAGGTAAAAAAGGAATTAGCTATGCTAAGCACTCCAGATTTTGCATATACTCTTGCATCAATAAATACTAATGCAGTGATATTTCTCTAAAAATAGGATCCACGTTTTGTATTTAACTAGAGCTGCCTCATAATTAATGCAACAACAATTTAAATTGCCTTACCATTAGTGCTTCATGTAAAATATAGGCAATTAGAGGCTCACTCATTCTCTCGCCCCTCTTCAGAAATCCTTTCACAAGATCAGTCACTGATCCTCCATTGCACAGCTAAAAAAGAACATTTCAAGATAGATCTTAAAGTGGGGAGGACATTTTAAGTTTTTGCTACAGAAGGTTTTCCTAAAACATTTAAAAAAAATTGTTCCAATTTTCTGTTTCAAATGATTACTCCCATCGCTGATTTCCTAAATGAAATGAACATATAAACTTATACTTGTGTACAGTTAAGTATTGGAATTTCATATGAATTAATTTTAGATAGAACTTGGAGAAGCACTGGGCTTAAATTTTAAATTCAAGGACAAGAAGTATGATTCTACAAATTATTTGCAAATTTTAGGATCTAGGTCTTAAAAACATTATTGATTTCTGATAGTTTAATTGATAGTGCAATAGATTTGACAATTTCAATTAACAGCTATATACTATTTTATATGTGCCCTAATTTAAAAATATGCCTCCTTTTTTGCAAAATTTCAGAGTGCATTGACGTAAAGATTACAAATAATATTTTAGAAAATTATTTAAAATATCTTATTTTCTATGTTCTTTAGCATCCTGTCTCTCCAACCCACTAAAAGCAGGGAGAATTTAATTAGAAAAACAAGAGGAAGGGAAATTTCTACATCTGGGTTCTCTAAAGTTAGGTAGCATTAAATGCCAAAGAAGACTTCCAAAGGAGCTCTGCCTGTTTGCAGAACAGGGAAACACAGATATTAGCAGTGAATACAAGAGGGAAGATAATTGAGTAAATGTTCCCAACAAATCTTTGACCCCACAAATCCATGATCCCCTAATCCTTAATTCTTTGGCCTCTACCTTCAGTCTTGCCCCTCCTCCCAGGTCTCCTTCCTATCTATGGTCTCCCTGCCCCTCACCTTGACCTACTGGGTCTCCTTTCCTACCTGCCTTTGGTACCCACCAGTGCCTGGGAACTAAAAGAGCCATCATTTCTCTAACTCTCCTCTAACTCAAGTTCAGGCAGAGAAACGAGGTGAGAGCAATTATATTCCTACCATCCTAGTTTGAAGTATCGAATAAATATTCCCATGAACTTTTTGTGATATGGTAATTAGATTTTACGGGATGCCTGAACACTTCTGGCATATTATGGATTAGATAATAATGGCCAAGATGCATTGAGCACTTACTTTGTACCAGGCACATTTCTAATCAATTTACATGATTATCTCTAAACTTCCCCACTTACTAAAATAGGTATTATAATCTTCATATTAACAATGAAGAAACCAGCTGGGTGCAGTGGCTCACATCTGTAATCCTAGCACTTTGGGAGGCCAAGGTAGGAGGATTGCTTGAGGCAAGAAGTTTGAGACCAGTCTGGGCAACATAGCAAGATCCCATCTCTTAAAAAAGTAAATTAGTCAGGTGTTGTGGTACATGCTTGTAGTCCCAGCTACTTGGGAGTCTGAAGCAGGAGGATTGCTTGCGTCCAGGGGTTGGGGTTGCAGTGAGCTACGACAACACCAAGTGCACTCCAGCCTGGGCCAAACAGTGAGCCACTGTCTCAAAAAAATGTAAAAAAGATGAAGAAAGGGAGGAACATTTATAATTGGTGTCTTCATTCAAAGAAAACTTCTTTTAGCTTATACAGGAGTATGTGCAGCCTTGCATTCCAAGGCCTGCATTTTTCTTCTGTGTCAGGCAAGAGGACACCCTAATAAAGGAGTGTTGGTCCTCCAGAAGCAGAACACAGGGTCAGACTGCCTCCACTGCGGCCCAGTGTGACTGGCTCACAAAATTACTCGACAACTGACTGAAAGAAATTGTGTCCTTTCAATTACAAGCCACTTATTTTAAAAAACGTAAGTTTCAGGACTAGTTTCACAATTCCTAAAAATCCCTACAGGGAGACTGAATTTCTTTTCCTGTTTCTCTAAAGTGTGGCCTCTCTTTGGCTGTACATTTGACAGTTGACTATTATGTTAATATTCTTGTATTACTCTAGTTTTGTCTTTTATAAGAGTATTAACATAGCACTGTGAGGTGTTTTTTTTTGTTTCGTTTTTTAAGACATGGGTTCACTCTGTCACCTAGGAAGGAGCGCAGTGTCATGATCGTAGCTCACTGCAGCCTAGAACTCCTGGGCTCAAGTGATCCTCCTGCCTCAGCCTTCACAGTAGCTGGGACTACAGGCCTGAGCCACCACACCTGGCCTGAGGTGTTTTTTTAAAGCCATTCTAAATGGTTGGGGTATCTCATTGTGATTTTAATATGGATTTTCCTAATGACTAATAATGTTGACCAGTTTTTCATATACTTATTGCCATCCACATATTTTCTCCAGTGAAATGTCCAAATTTTTATTTAGTTTTTACTAATTGTTTGTTTTCTTATTATTGAGTTTTGAAAGTATTCCGGATACGAGTCCCTTATCCAGTAGGTGCTGTGCTAATATTTTCTCCTCTATGGCTTGTGGTTTTAAATGTCTTTTCAAGAGAAGTTCTAAACTTATCATTTAAAAAAATTATGGAATGTGCTTTTTTGTGTCATATCTTTTGTGTCATATCTAAAAAGTCTTTGCCTAATCCAAGGCTACAACATTTTTCTCCTGTTAATATAATTTCTTCAGGAAGTTTTATAGTTTTCAGTTTTACATATAGGTAGATCTGTGATCCACTTTGACTTAATTTTTGTGTATGGTGTGATGTGTGGTTTGTATATGAATGTCCAATTATTACAGCACACTTTTCTATTAGTCAAAAGCATCTAAGAAATAGAAGCTATAACTCCAAATTGAGTTCAAAATCTAGTTGCCAACACTAAGACTGGGGGAACCTTAAATGCATCTTGCTAAGTGAAAAGAAGGCAATCTGTAAAGGTTACATACTAGATGATTCCAACGACACAAAGTTGTGGAAAAGACAAAACTGGAGATAATAAAAAGATTAGCAATTGCCAGGGATTCAGGGGGTGGGAGGGAGGGATGTGTAGGCAGAGCACCAAGGATTTTTGGAGCAATGAAACTATAGTCTGTTTGATACTGTAATGGGTTGTTACAGGTCATTATACATTTGTCAAAATTGATAAAATGTACAATACAGTGAACCCTAATGCAAACTATGGACTTTAATTAATAATAATGTATAACTATTGGCTCATCACTTGTAACAAATGTATCACAGTAGTTCAAGATGTTAATAACAGGGAAAGCAGGGAGGGGAAGTAGTGATGGAGTTTCATGGAGTTCTCTGTACTTTCTGCTCAATTTTTCTGCAAACCTAAAACTGCTCAAAAAATAAAGTCTATTAATTTTTTTAAAAACCTAGCCAACACCAAGAATATGCAAAAAGGACTTGAAATAATAATAAAGCATACAAAATTACACCAACTTCAAAATAAATAAAATACTCCTAGATTGTCTTTTCAGAAACTATTCTATGCATGGTTGAATTTTATATGCAATACATTTTTACATAAGTGAGATACTGACACAGAAAATATTCTTAATATTCTCTATTTTAATGAAGTGCCTTTGGTTAAGAAAATTTATTTTTAGAAAAATCATAATTTATTCTTTTATAATAAACAAATATTTATTAAATTGTTACTGTATGCAAAGCACCAAGTAGGTCTTAAAGTTGATCAAACATCTTTGATAGTTTCTGCTCTCAAGAGGCTTAAAATACAGTCAGGACAGTGGTTTTCAACCAGGGGAGATGTTGCCTCAGGGGACACTCCACATTGTTTAGAGATATTTTTAATGTCAGTGCTGGGAGCTGTTACTGGCATCCATAGGCTGGAATGCTGCTCAACATCCAACAATGCACAAGGAACCCCCACAACAAAGAATTACCCAGGCCAAAATGTCAACAGTGCACCAAAGTTGAAAAACCTCTAATTAGTGGGATGAAAAAACAATTACCTAGACTGTATGTTGGGTTTTGAATTACAGTTACATGGATAAAAGAATTATGTGCAAAGTACTACAGAATTTCACAGACAGATAACATTGAGTTAAAAGGAAAAAGGTTTTAAAGAAGAGAATAGAATCTGCTATCATATGTGATGACAATAGTTTTCTCCAGGTTGCCTTGGTATATTAACTTCACTTATGATGTCTCCTGGAATAAAGAAATAAACTTTGGGGGAGGATGAATATTCAAATTTATCAATTTTTTATGACCCCCTTATGCTGAGATCAATTTTTTTCTTTATGTTCACTGTTTTTTTTTCTTTTTTTTTGGTAATATTCAGAAAGTTTTTCTCCAAACTAAGATAATATTTTGTGACCATCAGAAGATGGTAATTAAGTCATTTTCTTACTATGACTTTACTTCACCTCACTAGATTTTTAAAAACAAGTATGTATATTAAAACCAAAGTGGGACATTTTTTAATGGTTAATAAAGAAAAAGTATCATTCACTCTAATAACTGCAAACATTGTACTCTAATTATATAGAAGCCATTGAGCTCGCTTTTAGTTCAAGAGACATAACTCCACAAAAATGCAGTTTTCAGCAAGGCTGAAATGTGAGCTGCCCTCACATTCAAAGAAAGATGGAAAGAAAGATTGATTAAAGTTACACTAGAATGTGAGATGAAAGACAAGAATATCAATTTTCTAAGAACTCTATGAAAAGTCAGATGATAGAAAACAAAAAATAATGATTTCACCTCTATTTTATAGATCCAAGAAAACCACATGGAAAAAATTACAATCAGACATTTCCAAATAATGAAGTAGTACACAAGAGGCCATAATAATAGCGTGCACACATCAAAAACATTAACCACTAGCAGACTAAAGTTTCAATTTGCAAAAAGAAAAAGAAATATGAACCACTAGCAACAGTAGTGTCTTATCAGAGGGTCAAACACACAAACCTATCTGAAATATAACTATGGACATCTAAAGCATAAACAATCTCTCCGCATCAAATTCACATTTTGTTGCTTGAATTTCATCTGATAAATTCCCTAAAAAAGATATTACTTATCTGAAAAATGTAACTAAGCTAGTAATTTCTGTGATCTATCATTAGCTAATATTCTAATTTATATGAGCTAAGTTTTTCCTAAAAA